AAAATAAATAAAGATCAATGCCACAGCTCTGTTGTCCAGAAATTCTGATTTAATTGGTTCTGGTGATTGGTATTTTTTCAAACTCCTAGATAATTTTAAAGTGCACTAAAGGTTGAGAAACTATTACTTAAATAAATAATACCACCACCCACCACAATACTTCTTAATGTGTTTAAAGTTTATAACTTGTCAACGTGTCTTTACATGTGATGTGAAAATGTAAGGATGTTCATCATTCCTGGTCTTCTTCTGTCTACAACGTTGCCGACCTCTTAAAACAGGGAGGGCGGTTTTTATGACTTCTGCTTTGGAGTTGAACTGAGGCACAGAAAATGTTAAGTCACTTGTCCAAGATCATATATTAATAAATCATAAAGTGGCAGAGTCACGATTAGAACCTTGATTTTCTGTTTCTTCATTAATGCCTACCAGTGTGACAACAACTATAAATGTTCACAAATAGAGAATGAAATTAGAACCCAGAGTCCACATGACACAGTTGTATCACAACCATGGAACCTTGTTGGATATTGGTCTTGGTGGCCTTTGAACTCTGAGCACGGTCCCCAGAGCAATCTGGCATTTGGTGGGGGCTGAGAGTGTGATGGATATAGATTCCCCTGTGAATTATGCATGTTCAGATGTGAGAAAAAGACAAAGACAGATAGAGCCACATACTTCTGGACCTATCCCTACCCTAGGCACCTCAGCACCTTTTTGTGTCCCATCTTTCCTAACATTGTCTCCATCCTTCCTTTGCAAAGCTTGTGCCCCTTTGTTTCTCAGCTTTAGAAAACACACCCATCATACAGACGTGTTTGCCATGGCAAAAGACATTGCTCTCCACTGCTGCTTTTTGCCGTGCCAAAATACTGTCCTTATTGCCAGGATGTCCTTAACTGACCTGAGGGTTTATGCCATATCTGCCTGGTGCTTAATGTCACGTTTGAGATGGAAATTATGGCCCAGAAACTTCTACCATCTTGTCCTCAGGAAATAGACATGGGCTCTGAATTCTTACACCCTTAGCCCAAAAGCCAGTTCACTGAAATACTGATCCCTGCTTACACATCCAGACCCAAAGAAGCTGGTCATCACCTCCATGGACTCAAGGCTACTTCTTCTTCGGTGGATCCAAGTAAACAGCAGAGCCACCAGCAGGGCTGTGGCCACGATGGATGGGATGCCTGCCGCTAACCCGAGAGAGGGCCCACAGTCCTGGAAGAGAGAAAGACAGAGTCAGGGGAAGCCCAGATTCTTCAAGAACAAAGGAAAAATTCAATAGGTTTGAATCTATTGAATCCATTTTGCATGGAACCTAAATATCATATACAATATCAAAAGGGTAATGAAATAATGTGAAAAAATGTTTGTAGCATACATGACAAATGACTTGTTTTCATGGGACTTAATTTACGTAGTTCAAATCAATTGGAAAGGCAATAATCCAATGGAAAAATGGGCCAAGGGTGTGAACAGGCATTCTTAGGGACAAATGCCTCCTCAACACAGGAAAAACTGAGATACAATTCAGAACGACAGTTCGATACCAGTTTCACCTATCAGTTTGGCAAACAGTAAGAGCTTTTATTGTATATCATACCATGTTGATGTGAATTTTTAAAAATTTATTTACACTACATGCATTAACCAATTGATTTTCAAATTTCCACTTTGCTTTGATCTGAGTGGAAATAGTCATTTCAGCCATTTTCAGATTTGCAGATTATCTGGAAATATTGAAGATAATCTGCAGAATCCCTATATGAATCATAAATATAAAGGTTGATGACTTTTCATGTGAGGAACACACCCATGTAACCCACACCCAGATCAAGAAGCAGAACATTACAGCAGTCCAGAAGCCCCCCTGACACCCTCAGTCTCCGTGACCACTATCCTGAAATCTGTCACTGTGAATTCGTTTTGTCTGTTTTTCAACATCGTATAGATGCATGTAAGGTATGTACTCTTTCGTCTCTGGCTCAACACTTTGTGAAAGCCTCCGTGATTTTGTATGTTCTCATTTTCTAGCTAAGTTGGTCATTGAATAGTTGTTGAGCCAGGTTCTGTGCTCAGCAGCAGTTCACCTATCGAACTGTTAATCCTCACGGCAAATGGATAGAGCATTATTATCGTCATTTTATAAATGACCAAACTGAGGCTCAGTAAGTTAAGTGATACACTTACCACTTCTTTCCCACCTGTAACAGGAGAGGAAGTCTGTGTGGAAAAAGAACATGTGTTGCAAAAGAACAAGATCTATAGAGTGCGCATTATACAAGACAGTCTGTCAAAGGTTAGGCCATAAGGCCTAAAGTTTACCCCTTCACTAAACTTTCTGTTAACAACAACAACAACAACTGCCAAGTAGAACCTTACTTGATTGCTTCCCAGCTAAGAACTGGAATGAAATTTGGATACAAGGAGAAAGAATTGAGAAATTCAGGTGATGTCTTCATTATTCACCCTGTGGATTTTCCATTCTGTCTTCAGATTACAGAAATTTGCTTGGGGTGGCTTTGACCAAAAAAAAAAGGGGGAGGATTAACTCTAAGGATGTAGGGGTGCCCTGTGGAGTCACAGGGCAGGTGGGAAGCTGGCTTCTCCAGGGACCAGAGCCAGGGATGGGGAATTTGTCAGGACCGAAGCCACCCCACTCTGTCTCTGTCTCTCCAGGGCAGGGTGGCCTTGGCCTTCCACCTGTGCTCTTCTCCGCCTGTTTGCTTCCTTTCTCTCTTTCCCTCCCTCCCTCTCTCTCTCTCTCACTTCGCTACCGTCATGAACGCCTGCCAATTGTGCCAGCTAACATTGTGGAGCATTTACTATATGCCAGGCTGTTCAAGCACTTTCCCCGTATTGACTCACTTATTTTTCTCAACACGTTGTGAAAGCCTCCGTGATTTTGCATGTTCTCACTTTTGAGCTAAGTTGGTCATAAGAATAATTGTTGAAGAAAAAATGAAGCAGGACTGTAATGATCCTCATTTTACAGATGAGAAGAGTGAGGCATAGAGAAGTGAAGTACCATGTGCAAGGTCACATGGCCCTAGGTGGCAGACCCCAATCCATCTGGCTCCAGGACCCATGCTGTTAACCACCGTGCTGCACTGCCTCCAGGGCCTGGTACAGCATCCCAACCCAGTGTTTCCCTTGACAGTTCAGTGCGGTCCAGCAGGGACTGACTTGCATAGGTAGCCCTGTTCCAAACTCCCTGTAGAGCGGCTCTGATCCAGGTAGCCCCTTCTCCCCTGCTTCCCAGTGGTGTTATTCTCTTTTAATAACCATGTAACTTTTCAGAAAAATTTGGCACAGCCCACTAAAAAACTGATGTGGAAAAATACCTTGCTCAACCACAATAGCACTACTGATTAGAAAACAACCCTGGCTGTTAGTGTTTTCTCTACACAATATGAGAACAGAAATGGAAGATGAATCATGGATTGAAACTGTACACCATCGACAGCTGAAAATCTCTATTTTTACTTGCAACTAAATGCCATGATCAAGAGCCCTCAAATGTTCATTCTTGTTGACCCAACCATTTCCTTTCTAGAGAATACGCTAAGGAAATAGTGTTAAATGCAGACAAGGATTATCTGTTAGTACAATGGTATTTATCAGAAAAGTATTCCTAATTATAATTAAAGCAATAATTCACTTGAAGAAATATTGTGTGACCATCCTCAGTTATGGCTATAAAGACTGGTGGAAAACATTTATGATATAAAATTATATGCAGAGTAAGAACACAATAGTACAAAGACAACAAAAGTCAAAATTTATGCAAAGTGAAACAGGACAGGAAGGGGTTACACTAGTGTTTTCTGCTGATGGGAATTTAGGGTTTTTGTTGTTATTTTTTTTTTCTTTTTTCCTCTTTCTGTAAGTTTTATAATTGGAAAAACTTTCTCTTAGCACCCCTCAACTGTTCCCAAGTGCCTGTGAAAGACGGTGTAACTGATCTCCATGCGAGAGGCTTATGTGACGGAGTCCTGGAGGCCCACTGTGAATTCTGCACTGTCACGGACTTACCTGGTGAGCGGGGGCTGCTGTGCTTACCGTGTTCCCTGGCAGCGTGAAGTTCAGTGAAAAGCTCTGCAAGAGAGAAGGAAATGTGCAAGCTCCCGACCTCTCCCCCAAACTCACCAGTCCTGGGGATCCCAGGAGAGTCATTGATCCTATAAGCTCAACCAGCCCCAGTCTTCGCCCCCAGTCTTGGCCCCAGAGGAAGGAGGGGAGCAAAGGAGCCTGAGTCATGAGTACCCCCTCAGCCTCAAGTCAGCCCCCCCTCCTCTCCCCGGGGGCCCGCTGAAGGGGCCGGCCAGCCAGGCTATTGCCTGAGGGCCCTGGTCCATGAGGGCAGCAAAACCATTGCTAGAAATTCAGCAAAGTGCTGACAATTATTCCCCCCTGTCCCCCTCAGAACTCCTTTCAGGGAGAGAGCTGTGTAAATTTAGAAGTACTTTGTACTTTTTGCTTGGAGCAGAAGGTAAGACCCGCGAGGGGCATGGTCTAACAAGAACTCCTGACCCTTCGATCACCTTCCCAGGAGGGTGAACCCAGGAAAGACAAGGCCTCCGCTGAGTCTGAGGCAGGGGTTCTAGGCCGCCGGAGCTGGCCCTTCTCCGCCCTCACTCTGCAGCCAGTCTCACCTCCCCCAAATATGGAGTCAATATGCAAAGATCACGGGCTCAGTGGGGCACCAGATGGCCTGCCCACATGCCCACTTATCTGGGCCAAGCCAGCCCAGCACCTGTGGCGGCTCCTTTCTCCTCCCTGTCCCCATCCTGTCACCACAGTTTGGCCTCATCAGGCGAGTCCTTCTAGTCCGCTCTTCACCAAGTCCCTTCCCCGCCTGGACGGGAGCACTGGGCCGACCCTGCTCTGACCCAGCTCTCTCCCTGGACTGAGGTGGTCTTATTTCCATTTTCTGGACCTTCAGTCCCTTGGGACCAGTCACCCCTGATTAACGCCCCCCTGGCTAGCCTCCCTTAGCCCCAGCCCCTGACCCCAGGACTCACCCCACTCTACAGCTCCTCCTCCTCCTCCCAGAGCCTCCCAAGACCAAGGTCTGTCGTTGTAGAAGCAATGTGTTTGCAAAGTTTTAAAATTAAATGTTATCCAACAATAGGAATCTCAGGAAGGACAAAAGAATCTAAAAGAATCATAGCATTTCACACCTGAATTACCTCAAAGATCATCTATCTCAAAACTCTCATTTTACAGAAGAGGAAACCAAATACTCGTCAGCAATTAGCTCATGGACAAAGGAGAACAGTTAGAGCCTGTCTCGTAAGGCAGAACTCCCAAATGGCTCTGTCCTTGTGACTTACATCCAACCTGAAAGATGGTCCCAACATAGGCCAGATTAATGAAATGCCTATTTTAGCTAACTTACTGGTGGATTGGGATTCGGATGGGTTAGTAAATGAAAAAATCTGTAACCAAACGTGTTTTAAGCACCTGCAATGTACACTTCCCCCTCGAGCCTGCCCTGAAGCGTATGCCCCTCGAGTCAGGTGGCCCCATCAGCCAGCATGCTGCAGTGGGGACTCTGCTCACTTCTCTGTCTCTTGGCAATCGTGCACCCACATTTTAGAGAGAATAATCCGAGGCTCAAGAATTTGAATGGGTTGCCCAATTTCACACTTGTTAGCTGTCACCAGAGCCTGGGTCTTCTGGTGACAACCTCTTTCCACCACTGCACAAGGCTGTCGAACAACTCCTGTGGTTTCTGCGGATGAAGCAGAGTGCCCAGGCTTACAGCACTAAGCACCTCTGCTTCTGGGATGCTGTTAGAACAAGAGGGACATCTAGGCCTCTTAGGTCAGGGTCCTCTTGCTTAAAGGATGTCGCCATTGCCCTTCATGCTAACACCAACCAAGCCGACAGGTGCTGCGAGAGACTGAACGCAGCTGCCCAGAGCCTTATCTCATCCGCGAGCACTGGGCACTGATGTCAGCAGGCCCAAGACAAAGCTGCCTTTGGGAGGACGGCAGCAACAAGTGGGCCATTGCATGCGCTGTTTATCAACATCTGGATGACGAAGATTTTGGCCAATTTCAGAAAAACATTCATATTTTGTAGAAACACAGTACAGTGCTCTCATGGAGAGAAAAACATTACATAAATTGGGGTGGAGAAGAATCTGACGCAGTGCCCTTCTGAGATGCAGCTGGGTGGGGTGAGGCAACCCTGGGCTTGGAGCCACCTGATCTCAGTTCAAGACCAGACTCAGCCGCTTTGTAGCTACGTGGTCTTAGATAAGTCACTCAGACTCTCTGATCTCCATTTTCTCACAACAAATCTATTCTCCCAGGCTCAGTTTTCCCATCCTCAAAATGGGAGGTTCTTAACTTGCCCTGCCCACTTCACAGGATGAGCCCCAAGGAAATACTGTCATGTTGGTGGCAGCTCCTAACAAACGCTAAAATACTCCAGGCGTATGGGGGATCACATGGTATCATATTCTTCGTGGCCTGGCCAGCACAGCGCTAGACATAGGGAAGCTACCTGGGAAGCTCTCGTGGGATGGAATTGCAAGCATGAACTAGTAATAGTCAAAGTAGCAGAATTTGACCCCAAGCACATTGCTCATTGCTACTCTGAGCACTACGTGATATCTACATA